CCTCCCCCCAGCGGCAGGAGCCCCAAGGGACCAGGTGACGGTGGTTACACTGGAGGCTTGGTCACCGTGAAGGCTGCAGCGATGCCGTGGATCGGTGCCCCAGGCCGCCTCCTGCAAAAGATCTTCCCGTTTGACCTCCGTGTTGTCTTCTCAAGGCCCGGGGAGCTGGGGCTGCATTAGGATATGGGCTGTCATTGTGTTTGGTATTTTTTGTCGTGCTTCACGCTGACCTCTGGGTTCTGGTTCAGTGCCGATGCCATAATGCAGGTCCTGAAGACCTCCTGGGAGCTTTTATCCAAGGAAAAACTGGCCAGGGAAGCAAAGTCCAGAGATGACAGAGCAGGCAGTTGTTTCCCCCCGCAGCAGCTCTGGCTTTGGAAGGACCTGGCACCTTGCCCTAAAGCATGGCCAAGACCTCAGCCTTGCTTGGAGCTGCTTGTGGCCCCAAGGCGAGCTCTGAGCGTGGATGGAGCTAGAAGTCTCCAAGTGGAGCAAATGGGACCCAAAGCAGAGCTGAGGGCCTGGCAGCGCAGAGACGAAGAGAAGGGTGTGCTGCTGGAGGTGGAGGGAACAGCGAGGGGATCGCTGCCTGCCTCCAAGTGTGTCTTCAGGCCTTCAGGCAAGGACCGTGGCATGAGGGGAGTGAAGGAGCAAGAGAGTGGGGAAATGGCAAATCTCAGTGGAGCCGTTGCCACAGGGCCTTGGGACCTGGCTGACCCGGGGGGGTTAGCGTTTGAGCTGAGTCCTTATGTCTGATCCTTGCTTGTGCCAAAATTTCCCCCTTGTCTCTGCAGTCCTGCACGCTGGTTCCTGCACTCTGCTCTGCCTCCAGCCTGCTGGTGCACAGCCCCGTTGGTCTCATGGCCAGTGACCCCGCCAGCCTCCAGTTAGCTGCCTGCACCCCCTTTCCCCCCCTCCTGCTGATCACAGCTGTAATTAGCTGCGACATTCTCGGCATACCTGCAGCTCCTAATGAGGCTCCATAAAGGCTGCCCTGATCTGGTCTCCTCCGGCACTTCGGGCCACTTGTAAATCTCAGCTTTACAATTTTGCACTGTGCTCGGAAGAAGCAGTGGCCTGTGGGAGGGTTTAAGGCTCTTTCTTATCCGTGGTGCATGTATGCGTAGGGGGAAGGGACGGCAGGGGATACGGCTCTTGCCGTTTCCTGTGATGCTCAGGGCGGTTAGTCCCTGGGTGGGGTGTGTCCGGCACTGTCCTGCCTTCGTGCGCTCGCTGTCCCCTCCTTGGTGTAAACCTGCATTCGTTGCAGGTTTCGGGCCTGAAAACAGCACAGGGGGCTGTTCAGCCTTGGTGCGAGTCTCAGGTGGAAGCTAGTCCAAATCAGACGAGCTCTCTGTAAGAGAGTCTGAACCTAGCTCTGCTGGAGGGCGCAGGCCGCCCCTTGAGCCTTCTGGTGGGATGGGGACATCTTTCTGCAGTGGATTTGGGTAGATTGTTGTGTGATTGCCTTCTGCTGGGCTGATTCTCAACTTATCTTTCTGTATTGTTTTCAGATTGCAAAGAGAAGCATTTATGGAGGTTTTTAAAAGGAGAGTTGGGTACTACGTTTTTGGTCCCATCTGGAATATAAACCCAGGAATGTCCTCAGCAGTGAGTGGTTCTGAGCTGGGCACGGTAATTAGGGTGGATTTCTTCCCCTCTCATCTGCTTATCCGTGTTGCGGGCTGGTTTTATGGCTAGCATCAGAGAGCGTGGGAAAAATGAGAAGCATTAGGAAACATATTTCCCGAGCCAGGCAAAGCTCGGGTCACTGGATCAAGCCAGAAGCTCTCGAGGGAGGACATGGGAGGGGGGGAATTGAGGGTTGGCCGCTCCAACGCGCCAGGGTATGGAAGGCTGCTGTGACGCATGGACTCAGCATGCAAAGCTGGGAGAGTTTCCAGAGCCCATCATGGAAGGAGAGGCAGGCTGAGGTCCCAATCCGGGGAGCCGTTTGCAAGACAGAAACCTAAAGGAGAAGGCCTCCTTTGACCGGGTTTGTGCCCGCCTCACAAGTCCTCCTTGAATTTTTGCTAATGTGGGGATAACGTATGACCTGCCTCCAGGTTGGCTCTGTCCGGAACCTGCCCATGTCTCATGGCACACGACGCGCGCTGGGACGGGGGTGGTAAATCTGGGTAAGTCACCAGGGTCTGCGAGCAGGCTGGAGGCTGGAGCCCAGGACTGGGGGTCGTTCCTTGTGGCCAGTTTTCAGAGAGACAGTAATGAAAACAAGCAGAGGAAAAGTAGCCCAAGCAAAATGTGTTTGTCAGCAGAATTTTTTCCCTTTTTTTTCTTTTTGGCTATATAAATTTTTTATTGTACAAAAAGTCTAAAAAAAAAAAAAAGGAAGGAATTGGGACAGAAGCAATGGTTATAATATACACAAGAGACTAACCCAAGTTACAGAACAAATGTAATTTATACAACACAGAAGAGAAATAACTGAGACAATCAAACTTTTTCCTTTCCTGTAGCTTTTCCTAAAATGGTTTATGACAGAGAAGCTGCGAATCCCACTTGTTCTGTCCCGCCGTGCCAGGAACGTGAGTTTCCTCCAGTTGCTTGTGCCTGTTGCTTTCAAATACCAAAGTTGTCGCCGTGGTTCATCCCTGGTAGCATCTGTGTGAAATTCAGCCCTTGGGCAAGAGCTCTGACGGGGCTGTGAGAGCCGGGGCGGAGAGGAAGGATGTTGTCTCCAAAAGGAGCTTTATACCGAGGCCGAGGGGTAAGGAGGAGGCCACCCGCTTCTCCCGCCGGCCGCTTGCACACGGCAGCCTCTGGGGAGGAGGTATCTCAGAAAGCGGCTCCGGTTTTGCCTGCGTTTAAGAGTCTCAGCTGTGGTTTTGTGGGCAGAAAGATGAATACTGTAACTCCAACGCCTCCCGGGGCGCCCTTTGGGGACGATGCTCGTTGCAGCAGCTGGGACGTCGGGGCGGGGAGAATCATTGATTTTCAGCCGTATTACCTGGAAACCCGCATGTGCTCGTCGCCCTCGGGAGGGTGAGTAGCATCACTTGTCACCCGAGAGCCTCGGACGTGATTTAAAGCCTCGCAACAGCCCTGTGAGGTAGATGTTATCCTTGAAGGAGGCGCACGGGGAGGAAGGAATTTGCTGGAGACGAGAGCTCGGCTGGGAGCCAGCGGGCAGAAACGGCGATCCTCCGTCAGCTTCGGCACCCTCGACCTCCCGGGGCTGAACCCAGGAGCCTCGCGCCGAGGTCTCCCCTC